GCAAACCAAGCCTAGCTGGTGGTGGAGTGCGGTCAAGTGGATCGCTGACATGGCTCTCGCTCCTGGTTCAGACCCTTTGTTTGCCAACTTATAGATCGAGGTTCCGCTCTTCTGTCTGACCAATAGATTGCCAGCCAAATCAATTCAGGTTTCCTACAACCTCCTGTCACACAGTGAGGATTTGTCACCACTGACCCTATCCGAACCCGCCGTTTTATCTGCTTTAAAAAGGCTTAACCCTATGAAGGCGGCAGGACTAGATGGGGTAGTGTGGTGAAGGCGTACGCAGGCATCCTTGCTTGCCCAGTTAGCTGTGCAAAAAAGCAGTTTCGCGGAGCAGGGACGGCCATCATCCTGGAAGATGGCGCCTATCCCCAAGCTAAAACCTGTTATCGACATCAACAAATATCTTCGTCCGATCTCCCTAACCTCCGTTATATCTAAACTTGCACGGGACTTTGTCGTCGCTCTTCATTTCGGCCCTGCGGCTCTGGAGGTGATTGATCCAAATCAGTATGGTCGCATCACAGCGTCTTCTACCCCACACGCCCTTACCTACATGGTACATGTACCTGGTTGCAAGCCACCGATGGGTCTGGGGCTGCTGTGAGAGTCGTCCCGTTTGATTACAGGAAGGCCTTCGATCTCAGTGACCACGCCCTACTTGTGTGCAAAGTTTTCGGCCTATCTTTTCCTCGCGCTGTTACCCTCTGGGTGGCCGACTTCTTAACGCATAGACAACAACGCGTAAAGTTGTCTATAGAGACTGTTTTTATGAATGGGGCCCTGTGCCCGCTGGTGTGCCTCAGGGAACCAAACTAGGCCCATCGTTATTCCTCAGCGGTTTTCAGTGTGGACACATAGAAGCACATTTTGTACGTTGATGATACTTACCAGAGAGATTAAGCATCGCGTTTACGGCAAACGGCAAACGTAAGCAAGTTTCCCCTTCACTAGTCGTTTTCTGTTCATTATAAATACACGAAAATCGGTAGATTCAGGTCAATTTTATCCATAAGAATTGTTTTAAGCTGCTTTCATCTGCTCATTTTAAAAATTTCTCAACTTGAAACTCAAGTTTGCCGTTTGCGGTAAACGCGATGCTTAATCTCTCTACTATTGTTGAGTTAGTCTCGCGAGGTGCACAGGGTGACATTCAAAGTGCAGTTAGTGCCGTCGAGGAATGGTCACGTGAGCAATGCATGCAACTAAACGATGACAAATGCAAGGAGATGATCATCGACTTTAAAAATAACAAACATGTCTTCAGCTCTGTTGTGGTCGACGAGAAGGAACTAGCGGTTATAATAGTGCCAAACTTTTAGGCATAACACTGTCGTGTGGACTATTGTAACAGCCTGCTCTTTTTGATATATATCAATGACATGCCCAATTGTTTAGAAAAGGCAAATATTAGAATATTTGCTGATGACACCACTCTCTTCTACTCTTCCAATTCTCTACAGGACCTTGAAAAAACTATAAATGAGGAATTCAACCATCTTCTTAGCTACTGCTTTCTATAAACTTTAAGAAAACCCACTATATGACAGTCTCCTCCCCCCAAGAAGCAAATAAACTTAAGCTTAACTTACACAATATTGAAGAAAAGAACTACATCAAATACCTAGTTATCTGCATTGACAAGAATCTAAATTGGGCTCCCCACATTCAGCACATTAACAGCAAAATATCTAAAAACTTGGGAATCCTTTTCAGATTACGCCATTTCTTAACTTTAAACACCCTCAAACAAATATATTACTCACTTATCTAGCCCTACCTTCATTATGGAATTATGAGATGGGGAAACACATACCCAAGTAGATTAACTAAAGTTCAAACAAACCAAAATAAATGGATACGATGCATATTTTTTAGCCATAAGAGAGAAAGTAGTGCATCCTACCTCAAACTTCTAGATTACTTAACATAGATAGCATTTTTAAACTCAAAATCTCCTTGGTAGCTCACAAAATCTCACAAAATGAAGCCAATATCCCTGAAGTGTTTCAAAACTACCTCGTAAAGGTGTCTGATATTCACTCACACAATACCAGATATGCCTCAAATCTTAACTTTCATGTACCACGTGTAAGGTCAAATTACGGCAAACACACATTTAAGTTTGCCATAACCAAACCTTGGGAACAGATTCCTACTAAGATAAAAACACTTAGCTACCATAAGTTCAAAAAAGAATATAAGCGAATTCTAGTTAACTCTCAAAGGTAACAATTGTAATTTGATTGTCTCACATAACCTGACTGCTGGCATAATCGTCCATAGTTGCCATGGCACCAAGCGCACGTTTATTATGTATTTCCAATCATAATATAGCGGTGGTTAGCTTGAAAGCTAAGCTCCTCTGACCACCGTACACTTCTACCCAAGCCATTAATTTTTTTTTTCTTCTTCTTCTTCTTCTCCTTTATTAGTGTATTCCTACCTTACTATATATAATGTAAATATTTTATAAAGTGTGAATAATAAAATTGAATTGAATTGAATTGTGGCCTGCCAGCCTACCAGCTTAATGAGCTACAGAGGGTCCAAAATGCTGCTGCTAGGTTAATTTTCCAGGAATCTAAATACTGCCACGTAAGACCGATGCTGTATAATCTGCACTGGTTGCCGGTTAAATTCAAAATTGACTTTAAGATACTACTGTTAACGTAAAAGGCTATCACTGGCTTAGCACCTTTTTATCTCCAGGAACGTATTAATCTTAAAGAAGCATGTAAATACAATTTACCCTCCGATTGTGATGGACTGCTACTAAACCCTGTGAAATCAAGACTTTAACAACGTTAGGAGATCGAACTTTTGCTGCTGCTGCTCCTCAACTATGGAATTCATGGCCCTATGCGATTAGGAGTAGCCCCTCAGTAGCATCTTTTCAAAAGAAACTCAAGACATTTTAATTTCAGAAAGCTTTTTTGTAATTTTATGTGCTTTTTAATCTCTTTTTTAGTAGGTTTTATGCAGTTTTTTACCATTTAAGTAAACTAAGTAATTTTTATAGTTTTAGTGTTGACATAATTGTTTTAACTCTTTTTGGTAGATTCATTCACTTTGTATATTTTATGCAGTCCTAGTAATTTTTTTTTAATATTTTTATTTTTAAGCGCTGATGAAAATAGCAATATATATCGGCGCTGTATAAGTTTTACTATTATTATTATTATTATTATCATTATTATTATTATTTCCATTCCTTGTAGACTCAGGCAGGACGTTCGGCCTGGTTTATAGTCCTTGGAAGCAGGTTACAACAATTCACCACGGCTCCCAGGTCTCTCTTTTCCTTCTTCTTACAGGAACAGTACTTTCCTTAGTATCTTTGCTTTCCCCAACAATGCTGTTTTCTGGATAACTTCCAAACTCACGTTCACGCCGATTCTCTTAAAGTTGAAGTGAATCGGCGTGAACGTTATCCAGAAAACAGCATTGTTGGGGACAGCAAAGATACTAAGGAAAGTACTGTCCCTATCATTATCATTATCATTATCATTATCATTATCATTATCATTATTATTATTATTATTAACGATCTCAAGTGGAAAGTTTATATAATATACAACTATCCCCTGAAGGGGAGGTGATCAGAATAGTCTGGTGGGATATACCTAGACGCGAAGTGTCGAGGTATATATCTAGCGCTATGAACCGACCCTGAGTGGGATAGTTGTTTTAGTATTTACCAAATCAGTTGGATAAACATCACTTAGTTCGAGTTTGTTGGCGTTTCAATTTACAATGTTTCGGGGATCATTTGTTATGATCTTGTTCCAAATTCAGTGAGAAAATTCTTTTCTAGCGACCAGTAAACATCGAAAAGCCAAATTTTTTCTCGTTCTTGGTATTTGTTGGTGCAGCTGCTTCATTTACCGCTAAAATTTCATCTTTCGAAACTGTCGCGAAACGAGAAGCAGAATCCCGTCATGAACAAATGAAACAGTGAATATCCAAGGATATTCCTAGTTACGGGAGCCAATCAGAACGCGCGAAAATTGCTATCCACTGATTTGGTGAATTATGAAACTATTAAGAAAGCAAATAAGCGTTTGTATGTTTTTGGTTCAGCTTGAGCTGTAAAGATATTGTTGACTTCCACTGTACAGCAATGAGACCCGTTCTAGAATATTGCTCACCCATTTTCCACCATAGCCTACCCGACTGTCTCAGTGAGCGTGTACAAAAAAGAGCGCTCTCCATAATAGCGCCTGATAAATCATACAAACCCTGTTTAGTCAGTTTTGGTCTGAGCACTTTATATGATAGGCGTAACGATCAATGTATTAAGCTGTTTAATAGTATATCATCGGATCAGCACAAATTCGCATGCCTGCTTTCTCCGAACCATCAAGGCTACTACAATACCAGACAGGAGAGAGTTTACGACTTGCCCCACTTTCGCACAAACCGCTGCAAAAATTCGTTCAAACCAGCCATGTGCGGCCGTCCAAACATCTTATTATAATGTAAGATTGAGTGTTATTACGTTATTTTTCCTTTCTTTTTCAGTTGTTCATTATCATTATTCCTAATTAACAAAATCGAAATTAGTCTTTTACCATTATTTTATACTTTTTCATTGTATTGTAAATAATTAAACAATTCAGCCTTCAGCCGGCTGCGATTTGATTATTTTCTTATCTATGATCTATCTTTACTAGGAGAAGTAACGTCTTCAGCGGATTGATCAGATGTCCTATACTTCGACCAAGCTGGATTGAGTCACCGCAAGATTGAGGATAACATCTTCTTCGCTCTACATAATTCGTCACATCCTACTCAGCCTCATTCAGTAATTGATAATTATGACAACGATCACTTTGTCGATCAAAGGTTAGACTTCAAACTCTTATTTGTACATTTGGAAATGTCTCTTTTGAATTCTACTCAGGGACTCAAACGCGTGAACTCGAGACAAAATAATACTGAATTAATAGCCTTAACATTAAGACGATACAGGTCTGTACTGAAATATAATCACCTGTGCAGTTAACTCCGTTCCCATAATACCCTGGCTTGCAAGTGCACTCGAAAGATCCTTCAGTGTCATTGCAGTCTGCATTGGCATCACAGTTGTGCTCTCCTGTTATACACTCGTTTACCTCTGCAAATCAGATGCAGGACTAAATCATCAAAACTGATTTACTTAACCTTTTATTTTCTAGGATTGGGTACGATCAGAAGAGAGAGGGAGAGAGAGATTTCTGGCTATGCTAGAAAGCAAAAACATTTTTGCTATATATTAAGCAGGTGAAAAATTTACAAAAAAATTAATGACATCACGTGTATAGATAGAGGATTAGCGAGACCTAAGGAAGCAAGATATTATAGAATGCAATCTTGTAGGAGCACAATAAAATAACACATTAAAAAACTTAAATATTTCAAGCATGTATAGGGGTAAAATTGCATACAGATACTGTAAATCACAAACTTTTGTAATGCAAGGGTATTTCCATACTTTTTCATCTTAAATTGAAAAACAAACTGTAGCTCTAGGGACTAAGCTGTATACTACCTTGTGGGTGAACTTGGCTCTAATGCGAGATAAATGGAGTTGATTAGAAAAAGATTTATTATAAAGAAGACCGAGGTATTGTTTTCACCTGTGCAGTTAACTCCATCCCCAGAATACCCTGGCTTGCAGGTGCACACAAAGGATCCTTTAGTGTTTTTGCAACTGGCGTTTGCATAACAGTTGTGCTTTCCTGCTTCACATTCATTTATATCTGGAAAAAAGAAGTCAGGCACTGAATTATCAAAACTAACTTAGTTTTTCTTTTACAGCAATTACTGTGGCCTACCACAATAGCCATTTGATGCGATCAATTTTCATTTTCAAAACGAGGTCAATCCTCAAACCTTTCTCCTTTGAAATTTATTTTCGTATCAAAAGGCTTCGCACCTCGCCTCGTTTTAAGACAGAAACTCGAGTCAACTCGAAAATGGCCTATTAGAATTACAATATACCTGACTTATTATTTAGCAATTAATGAGTGAGGCTGAGTAGGATATGAAGAATTAAGCAAATCGAGGAGGGTGTTATCCACAGAGGCCAAAGGCCGCGGTAAATAACATTACATATTACCTATTACATAAATAACATATTACCGTCACAAATTCGCTATAACAATAACACAAATCCGCTATTTGTTTTCTTATTTAAAACATTAACCCCCACATATTAGTATTTTTAAAAAGAGGAAGACCTAGTGTACACAACTATAGTTAAAAAGGTCTGAATTTAGTTTTTGTGTCCGAATGAAGACTTTCTGAAAACCGTCTAATTTCACGTTTAAAACCAGTGAAATCTTGATATTTTGGGTCGAGACGGTTTTTTATTGTTTGTGGCCGTTAAAAAGAGAATTTAAAAAAAAAAAACTCATTTCATTTCATTACACACCTTAGGCTTACTGCTCACAAAAAAGGAGCGAAATCGATTTTTGACCGTGGCCGTGATTTTTTCCGATTTTGTTTGATTTTTACTCAGCGCTTAAAAGCGCTGATAAAAATAGCAATTTTGATAACGGCGCTATATAAGTTTCATTATTATTATTATTATTATTATTATTATTGTTATTATTATTATTATTATTATTATTATTATTATTATTATTATCTAATCAACCGCTTTATAATCTGGTGTAATTGGTCGAAGATGATAATAAGAGTTGACAAATGTTCTACTTTTGGAATACGGAAACTGTGCCTTAAAATCTGTCCAATATTTACCCAAACTGTTGATCAATGGAGTTCTAATTCCCTGTGTGGAAATGAGTGAATCATTTCGTTACTTAGGTCGCTTCTCTGACTTCAACATGTCTAACCACCAACACATGTCTGAATTGTCCTCTCTTGTGCAAGACTTGATGAATGACATTGATATAAAGCCACTACATCCTAAACACAAACTTCTTCTGTACAGCCGCTATGTCCTATCTAAATTGTCCTGGCATTTCACTATAGCTAATATATCCAAAACCAGGATAACGGAACATCTCGACTCTGTAGTGAATGGCTATATTCAAAAATGGCTTGATATTCCGATATCTGGAACACTGAGCAATGTTTTCCTAGAACGCAATAAATTTGGTCTTAATATTTGTCCTCCTCTGTTAAATTTACTCAGTGCCAAACAGTTTTCCGAGATTCATTAAAAGAGTCACCAAATGATTCCTTAAAAGATCTCTGGAAATCGCCAAGCTGTCGCACTAATATTCAATGTGATGTGTACAAATCCACTAAGGAAGTTCTTAATCAAGAGGATAAACTGCAACACCACCTAACATCTCAAGGTTTCTTCTTCTCAAATGTTATCAAGTACTCATTGCATCTGTAAATTCTATTTGGTCAGAGGCCCATTCTCATCTACCCAAAAACATTTACAATTTTACCATCCACTTCATCAACAACTCCCTCCCTACACGTAAGAATATGGCAAGATGGGGATTCTCACAAAGTCCTGATTGCTCCTTTTGCCTTAATCCTGAATCACTCCTTCATGTTGTCGCTGGTTGTCAACAGTACCTTGATCGCTTTACCTGGAGACACGACTCAATCCTTAACTTCATTGCCAAGTCACTTCAACCTGTAATTAATGTTCACTCTTCACGCTATGCAGATGTTAATGGTTTTCTGAATCCCTCAATAATACTGGTGATAATTATCGTCCAGATCTTCTTTTCCTAATCCAGTCCAAGTGCCTATATGTTCTAGAATTAACAGTTGGTTTCGAGTCTAACTTTAACAACAATGCAGCGCGTAAGAAAGAAAAATATCTGAACTTGATCAACGAAATGAGCAGAAATTACAGATGTGTGAGATTTGTAAATCTCTCCATATTAGTCACCACGGGTCCCAGGGCTCTCTTTTCCTTCTTCTTACAGGGACAGTACTTTCCTTAGTGTCTTTGCTGTCCCCAGCAATTCCGTTTTCTGGATAACTTCCAACTTCACGTTCACGCCGATTCTCTTCATGTACTCCTTAAAGTTGAAGCGAGTCGGCGTGAACGTAATCCAGCAAACAGCATTGTTGGGGACAGCAAAGATACTAAGGAAAGTACTGTCCATATTATTATTATTATTATTATTATTATTATTATTATTAACGATCTCAAGTGGAACGTTTATATAATATACAACTATCCCCCGAAGGGGAGGTGATCAGAATAGTCAGGTGGAATATACCGAGCGCTATGAACCGACCATGAGGGGGATAGTTGTTTTAGTGCTTACCAAATCAGTTGGATAAAAATCACCAATCGCCAATCAGAACGCGCGAAAATTGCTATCCACTGATTTGGTCAATACTAAATGAAACTATTAGGAAAGCAAATAAGCGTTTGTATTTTTTTTGGTTCAACTTGAGCTTTAAAGATATTTGTTGACTTCCAATGTACAGCAATGAGACCCGTTCTAGAATATTGCTCGCCCATTTCCCACCATAGCCTACCCGACTGTCTCAGTGAGCCTGTACAAAAAAGAGCGCTCTCCATAATAGCGCCTGATAAATCATACAAACACATCTCCAGGAACGTATTAATCTTAAAGAAGCATGTAAATACAATTTACCCTCCGATTGTGATGGACTGCTACTAAACCCTGTGAAATCAAGACTTTAACAACGTTAGGAGATCGAACTTTTGCTGCTGCTGCTCCTCAACTATGGAATTCATGGCCCTATGCGATTAGGAGTAGCCCCTCAGTAGCATCTTTTCAAAAGAAACTCAAGACATTTTAATTTCAGAAAGCTTTTTTGTAATTTTATGTGCTTTTTAATCTCTTTTTTAGTAGGTTTTATGCAGTTTTTTACCATTTAAGTAAACTAAGTAATTTTTATAGTTTTAGTGTTGACATAATTGTTTTAACTCTTTTTGGTAGATTCATTCACTTTGTATATTTTATGCAGTCCTAGTAATTTTTTTTTAATATTTTTATTTTTAAGCGCTGATGAAAATAGCAATATATATCGGCGCTGTATAAGTTTTACTATTATTATTATTATTATTATCATTATTATTATTATTTCCATTCCTTGTAGACTCAGGCAGGACGTTCGGCCTGGTTTATAGTCCTTGGAAGCAGGTTACAACAATTCACCACGGCTCCCAGGTCTCTCTTTTCCTTCTTCTTACAGGAACAGTACTTTCCTTAGTATCTTTGCTTTCCCCAACAATGCTGTTTTCTGGATAACTTCCAAACTCACGTTCACGCCGATTCTCTTAAAGTTGAAGTGAATCGGCGTGAACGTTATCCAGAAAACAGCATTGTTGGGGACAGCAAAGATACTAAGGAAAGTACTGTCCCTATCATTATCATTATCATTATCATTATCATTATCATTATCATTATTATTATTATTATTAACGATCTCAAGTGGAAAGTTTATATAATATACAACTATCCCCTGAAGGGAGGTGATCAGAATAGTCTGGTGGGATATACCTAGACGCGAAGTGTCGAGGTATATATCTAGCGCTATGAACCGACCCTGAGTGGGATAGTTGTTTTAGTATTTACCAAATCAGTTGGATAAACATCACTTAGTTCGAGTTTGTTGGCGTTTCAATTTACAATGTTTCGGGGATCATTTGTTATGATCTTGTTCCAAATTCAGTGAGAAAATTCTTTTCTAGCGACCAGTAAACATCGAAAAGCCAAATTTTTTCTCGTTCTTGGTATTTGTTGGTGCAGCTGCTTCATTTACCGCTAAAATTTCATCTTTCGAAACTGTCGCGAAACGAGAAGCAGAATCCGTCATGAACAATGAAACAGTGAATATCCAAGGATATTCCTAGTTACGGGAGCCAATCAGAACGCGCGAAAATTGCTATCCACTGATTTGGTGAATTATGAAACTATTAAGAAAGCAAATAAGCGTTTGTATGTTTTTGGTTCAGCTTGAGCTGTAAAGATATTGTTGACTTCCACTGTACAGCAATGAGACCCGTTCTAGAATATTGCTCACCCATTTTCCACCATAGCCTACCCGACTGTCTCAGTGAGCGTGTACAAAAAGAGCGCTCTCCATAATAGCGCCTGATAAATCATACAAACCCTGTTTAGTCAGTTTTGGTCTGAGCACTTTATATGATAGGCGTAACGATCAATGTATTAAGCTGTTTAATAGTATATCATCGGATCAGCACAAATTCGCATGCCTGCTTTCTCCGAACCATCAAGGCTACTACAATACCAGACAGGAGAGAGTTTACGACTTGCCCCACTTTCGCACAAACCGCTGCAAAAATTCGTTCAAACCAGCCATGTGCGGCCGTCCAAACATCTTATTATAATGTAAGATTGAGTGTTATTACGTTATTTTTCCTTTCTTTTCAGTTGTTCATTATCATTATTCCTAATTAACAAAATCGAAATTAGTCTTTTACCATTATTTTATACTTTTTCATTGTATTGTAAATAATTAAACAATTCAGCCTTCAGCCGGCTGCGATTTGATTATTTTCTTATCTATGATCTATCTTTACTAGGAGAAGTAACGTCTTCAGCGGATTGATCAGATGTCCTATACTTCGACCAAGCTGGATTGAGTCACCGCAAGATTGAGGATAACATCTTCTTCGCTCTACATAATTCGTCACATCCTACTCAGCCTCATTCAGTAATTGATAATTATGACAACGATCACTTTGTCGATCAAAGGTTAGACTTCAAACTCTTATTTGTACATTTGGAAATGTCTCTTTTGAATTCTACTCAGGGACTCAAACGCGTGAACTCGAGACAAAATAATACTGAATTAATAGCCTTAACATTAAGACGATACAGGTCTGTACTGAAATATAATCACCTGTGCAGTTAACTCCGTTCCCATAATACCCTGGCTTGCAAGTGCACTCGAAAGATCCTTCAGTGTCATTGCAGTCTGCATTGGCATCACAGTTGTGCTCTCCTGTTATACACTCGTTTACCTCTGCAAATCAGATGCAGGACTAAATCATCAAAACTGATTTACTTAACCTTTTATTTTCTAGGATTGGGTACGATCAGAAGAGAGAGGGAGAGAGAGATTTCTGGCTATGCTAGAAAGCAAAAACATTTTTGCTATATATTAAGCAGGTGAAAAATTCACAAAAAAATTAATGACATCACGTGTATAGATAGAGGATTAGCGAGACCTAAGGAAGCAAGATATTATAGAATGCAATCTTGTAGGAGCACAATAAAATAACACATTAAAAAACTTAAATATTTCAAGCATGTATAGGGGTAAAATTGCATACAGATACTGTAAATCACAAACTTTTGTAATGCAAGGGTATTTCCATACTTTTTCATCTTAAATTGAAAAACAAACTGTAGCTCTAGGGACTAAGCTGTATACTACCTTGTGGGTGAACTTGGCTCTAATGCGAGATAAATGGAGTTGATTAGAAAAAGATTTATTATAAAGAAGACCGAGGTATTGTTTTCACCTGTGCAGTTAACTCCATCCCCAGAATACCCTGGCTTGCAGGTGCACACAAAGGATCCTTTAGTGTTTTTGCAACTGGCGTTTGCATAACAGTTGTGCTTTCCTGCTTCACATTCATTTATATCTGGAAAAAAGAAGTCAGGCACTGAATTATCAAAACTAACTTAGTTTTTCTTTTACAGCAATTACTGTGGCCTACCACAATAGCCATTTGATGCGATCAATTTTCATTTTCAAAACGAGGTCAATCCTCAAACCTTTCTCCTTTGAAATTTATTTTCGTATCAAAAGGCTTCGCACCTCGCCTCGTTTTAAGACAGAAACTCGAGTCAACTCGAAAATGGCCTATTAGAATTACAATATACCTGACTTATTATTTAGCAATTAATGAGTGAGGCTGAGTAGGATATGAAGAATTAAGCAAATCGAGGAGGGTGTTATCCACAGAGGCCAAAGGCCGCGGTAAATAACATTACATATTACCTATTACATAAATAACATATTACCGTCACAAATTCGCTATAACAATAACACAAATCCGCTATTTGTTTTCTTATTTAAAACATTAACCCCCACATATTAGTATTTTTAAAAAGAGGAAGACCTAGTGTACACAACTATAGTTAAAAAGGTCTGAATTTAGTTTTTGTGTCCGAATGAAGACTTTCTGAAAACCGTCTAATTTCACGTTTAAAACCAGTGAAATCTTGATATTTTGGGTCGAGACGGTTTTTTATTGTTTGTGGCCGTTAAAAAGAGAATTTTAAAAAAAAAAACTCATTTCATTTCATTACACACCTTAGGCTTACTGCTCACAAAAAAGGAGCGAAATCGATTTTTGACCGTGGCCGTGATTTTTTCCGATTTTGTTTGATTTTTACTCAGCGCTTAAAAGCGCTGATAAAAATAGCAATTTTGATAACGGCGCTATATAAGTTTCATTATTATTATTATTATTATTATTATTATTATTGTTATTATTATTATTATTATTATTATTATTATTATTATTATCTAATCAACCGCTTTATAATCTGGTGTAATTGGTCGAAGATGATAATAAGAGTTGACAAATGTTCTACTTTTGGAATACGGAAACTGTGCCTTAAAATCTGTCCAATATTTACCCAAACTGTTGATCAATGGAGTTCTAATTCCCTGTGTGGAAATGAGTGAATCATTTCGTTACTTAGGTCGCTTCTCTGACTTCAACATGTCTAACCACCAACACATGTCTGAATTGTCCTCTCTTGTGCAAGACTTGATGAATGACATTGATATAAAGCCACTACATCCTAAACACAAACTTCTTCTGTACAGCCGCTATGTCCTATCTAAATTGTCCTGGCATTTCACTATAGCTAATATATCCAAAACCAGGATAACGGAACATCTCGACTCTGTAGTGAATGGCTATATTCAAAAATGGCTTGATATTCCGATATCTGGAACACTGAGCAATGTTTTCCTAGAACGCAATAAATTTGGTCTTAATATTTGTCCTCCCTCTGTTAAATTTACTCAGTGCCAAACAGTTTTCCGAGATTCATTAAAAGAGTCACCAAATGATTCCTTAAAAGATCTCTGGAAATCGCCAAGCTGTCGCACTAATATTCAATGTGATGTGTACAAATCCACTAAGGAAGTTCTTAATCAAGAGGATAAACTGCAACACCACCTAACATCTCAAGGTTTCTTCTTCTCAAATGTTATCAAGTACTCATTGCATCTGTAAATTCTATTTGGTCAGAGGCCCATTCTCATCTACCCAAGAACATTTACAATTTTACCATCCACTTCATCAACAACTCCCTCCCTACACGTAAGAATATGGCAAGATGGGGATTCTCACAAAGTCCTGATTGCTCCTTTTGCCTTAATCCTGAATCACTCCTTCATGTTGTCGCTGGTTGTCAACAGTACCTTGATCGCTTTACCTGGAGACACGACTCAATCCTTAACTTCATTGCCAAGTCACTTCAACCTGTAATTAATGTTCACTCTTCACGCTATGCAGATGTTAATGGTTTTCTGAATCCCTCAATAATACTGGTGATAATTATCGTCCAGATCTTCTTTTCCTTATCCAGTCCAAGTGCCTATATGTTCTAGAATTAACAGTTGGTTTCGAGTCTAACTTTAACAACAATGCAGCGCGTAAGAAAGAAAAATATCTGAACTTGATCAACGAAATGAGCAGAAATTACAGATGTGTGAGATTTGTAAATCTCTCCATATTAGTCACCACGGGTCCCAGGGCTCTCTTTTCCTTCTTGTTACAGGGACAGTACTTTCCTTAGTGTCTTTGCTGTCCCCAGCAATTCCGTTTTCTGGATAACTTCCAACTTCACGTTCACGCCGATTCTCTTCATGTACTCCTTAAAGTTGAAGCGAGTCGGCGTGAACGTAATCCAGCAAACAGCATTGTTGGGGACAGCAAAGATACTAAGGAAAGTACTGTCCATATTATTATTATTATTATTATTATTATTATTATTATTAACGATCTCAAGTGGAACGTTTATATAATATACAACTATCCCCGAAGGGGTGATCAGAATAGTCAGGTGGAATATACCGAGCGCTATGAACCGACCATGAGGGGATAGTTGTTTTAGTGCTTACCAAATCAGTTGGATAAAAATCACCAATCGCCAATCAGAACGCGCGAAAATTGCTATCCACTGATTTGGTCAATACTAAATGAAACTATTAGGAAAGCAAATAAGCGTTTGTATTTTTTTTGGTTCAACTTGAGCTTTAAAGATATTTGTTGACTTCCAATGTACAGCAATGAGACCCGTTCTAGAATATTGCTCGCCCATTTCCCACCATAGCCTACCCGACTGTCTAACTGAGCCTGTACAAAAAAGAGCGCTCTCCATAATAGCGCCTGATAAATCATACAAACACTGTTTAGTCAGTTTTGGTCTCAGCACTATATATGATAGGCGTAACGATCAGTGTATTTAGCTGTTTAATAGTATATCCTCGAATAAGCTCAAATTCGCTTGCTTGTTGCTTTCTCCGAACCACCAAAGCTACTACAATACCAGTTATGAGAGTGTTTACGACTTGCCCCACTTTCGAACAAACCGCTGCAAAAGTTCGTTCAAACCAGCCATGTGTGGTCGCCCCAACATGTTATTATAAAGTAAGATTAAGTATTTTTACGTTATTTTTCCTTTCTTTTTCAGTTCTTCATTATCATTATTCCTAATTGACAAAATTGAAATTAGTCTTTTACCATTATTTTATACTTTTTCATTGTATTGTAAATAATTAAACAATTCAGCCTTCAGCCGGCTGCGATTTGATTATTTTCTTATCTATGATCTATCTTTACTGGGAGAAGTAACGCCTTCAGTGGATTGATCAGATGTACTAAACTTCGATCAAGCTGGATTAAGTCACCGCAAGATTGAGGATAACATCCTCTTCGCTCTAAATAATTCTTCACATGCAGCCTACTCAGCCTCATTTAGTAATCGCTAAATAATTATGACAACGATCACTTTGTAGATCAAAGGTTAGACTTCAAACTCTTATTTGTACATTTGGAAATGTCTCTTTTGAATTCTACTCATGGACTCAAACGCGTGAACTCGAGACAATATAATACTGAATTAATAGCCTTAACATTAAGACGATCCAGGTCTTTACTGAAATATAATCACCTGTGCAGTTAACTCCGTTCCCCGAATACCCTGGCTTGCAAGTGCACTCGAAAGATCCTTCAGTGTCATTGCAGTCTGCATTGGCATCACAGTTGTGCTCTCCTGTTATACACTCGTTTACCTCTGCAAATCAGATGCAGGACTAAATCAACAAAACTGATTTACTTAACCTTTTATTTTCTAGGATTGGGTACGATCAGAAGAGAGAGGGAGAGAGATATTTCTGGCTATACTGAAAAGCAAAAACATTTTTGCTATATATTGAGCAGGCGAGAAATTCAGAAATGACATCAAGTGTATAGATAGAGGATTCGCGAGACCTAGGGAAGCAAGATATTAGAGAATACAGAATGACTTCCTTTCTAAAGAAAAATTGCTAACAGAAGGAGGGATAAAAAGGACACGTTTCCGCTGATACTCTAAAGACGGAATTGCGTACATGCATTGGTCTTATATAAAAATGTAGTAAGCTCACCCAGCGTGACTTCGTGTTGGGACATGACAATCTTGCATGTGCACAATATAATAATACATAAAAAAAAACTTAAATATCTCAAGGATGTATAAGGCTAAAATTGCATCCAGATACTGCAAATCACAAACTTTTATAATGCAAAAGCATTTCCAAACTTATTCAGCTTAAAAGAACAAACTGCACTACCAGGGACTAAGCTGCATACTACCTTGTGGCTAAACTTGGCTCTAAAGCGAGATAAATGGAGTTGATTAAAAAAAGATTCATTATAAAGAAGACCGAGGTATTGTTTTCACCTGTGCAGTTAACTCCATCTCCAGAATACCCTGGCTTGCAGATGCACACAAAGGATCCTTTAGTGTTATTGCAATTAGCGTTTGCATGACAGTTGTGCTTTCCTGCTTCACATTCATTTATATCTGCAAAAAAGAAGTCAGGCACTGAATGATTAAAACTGATTTCCTTTTTCTTTCACAGCAGTTATTGTGGCCTACCATAATAGCCATTTCATGCGATCAATTCTCATTTCAAAACGAGGTCAATCCTCAAACCTTTCTCCTTTGAAATTAATTTTCATGTCAAAAGGCTTCGCACTTCGCCTCGTTTTAAGACAGAAACTCGAGTCAACTCGAAAATGGCCTATTAGAATTACAATATACCTGACTTACTAAAGGAACTTAATGCTCTGCGATCAGTATTAGTAAAAGGTATTATGGAAATTAACGAGACTTAAATGAAGGCGAATTTAGTGAAAAACCACTTTGGAAGAGAGGCAATTGATTTGAAAGAGACGTGGCGACGAAATATCTGGGTGTTTCCATTAAGGGATTTGAAGTGTTACCTGTACATGTATTTTCTCCATTTTCAAAATAACCATCCCTGCAAACACATCTGAAGGATCCTATAGTGTTATAGCACACTGAACTACTGACGTCACAGCTGTGTTTTCCTGTGCTACACTCATCTTTGTCTGGAAATCAAGAGTTAATGCTGAATTATCCAACTGAATCAGTTCTATTTCAGTTTCATATCTATTGAATGAGAGATAGCAATGCAATTCTTTCGAGACTGGTAGTCCACGAATGAACAAATCAGTTTTTAAAATAAGGAAATTGCAAGGAACACTAATTCAATTGATGGCACTTATAAAAACGGTAAAATGGAGGATAAAATCAGTGACAAATTATTATTCAAAGTTTTACATGTTGCAAGTTATGTTATTTATGATGAATGATCCCGCTAAGAATAAGAAATAACTATTTTGACGGCACGAAATGGCACAGAACCTGGCCGGGTGTTAAGCCAGGGGCACGAGTTCGCATTAAGTTCTTTCTTTTCGAATATTTTCTCCAGTTCTTCAAGTTTTCAGTGATTAAATTCTGTACATATGCGTTTTTTTCTTTTCTTTTCTTTGTTTCTTTGCTTATTATTATTTTTTTGTACATTTTTTTTACTTGTGCCTCCATGAAAAAAACCTCTTTAAGGTGACTCGACCCAGTTTTTTTGGGGGGTACCATCCTACTTTGAAGCTCTCTGGTATCCCCACCTTTACTTTTATCGTACGTCTAACACATAGAATGGATAACATATAGATCAATCTACAATATAACATAAAGTTTTTGGCGATCGGAGTAAATGTCACGTGGTTATAATGCCACGCCCCTTTGAGGTCTGAGTCGAAAATCTGCTTTTGCCCGCATTTTTCCGTGAAAATCTCTCGGCTACACATAGTGCGCATTAGTGCCTTGCGCTGAACAGAGTTTCACCAAAATCGCAAAGACCCAATTCGAGAAATTCAGCGGTTTCCAAATTTAGGTTATAATTTATGCGAAAATGATAACCAAACTTTACACGGATTATATCTAATAAACTATGAGATTCATCTCTGTATTTTGGGCATCCTTATAACAGATGAGTCCCTGCAAGTCAGCAAAACGCTTTAGGGCCTTGTAAATGTGCGCGATCTCGACCAAAGCAGACATATAGAAATTATAGTTTTCGCTATTTGTTGACGTTTGTCAGCGTTTAAGAGTCAATCTCACGAAAAAAGCATTTTCTTAAAAATTCGTAGTTTTTTTTCCTTCAATTTTTTTCAGGGCCACAATTGATTAACTAACTACCCGGACTCTGAATTTCATGGTCATTGAAAAACTGTGACATTACCTTCTATAAGCCCAAACTTGAGTAAACATTGAAGATTTTTAGCGTTTTGGCTGAGTTTGTGCTTTGGAAGTTGTCTATTGTTTCTAGTCTGTCATGATACAGCATTCTTGTTCAGCACGAGTGCAATGACCGCGCTTGGCTGACTTCCGAATGCTCACCGAGATATGATAATTTTGGTACAGTGAGACAGACCATCGCGTCATACATAGAGGTTTAACTCACAATTTTTAATCAATTCTCGTGCTTCTTGTGCCATTGCAAAAAAATCAGGAAGTGCTACACACTAAATTTACTTACTATTAAAAAAATATCATTTTTTCATAGGTTTAATGCAAGCCAATAATCAAACCAACTCGTGACGGGAATCCCTTCTATATTCTTATACTAAATTATCATATCTCGGTGAGCATTCGGAAGTCAGCCAAGCGTGGTCATTGCACGCTTGCTGAACAGGAATGCTGTATAATGACAGACTAGAAAGAATAGACAACTCCCAAAGCACAAACTCAGCCAAAACGCTAAAAATCTTCAATGTTTACTCAAGTTTGGGCTTATAGAAGGTAATGTCACAGTTTTTCAATGACCATGAAATTCAGAGTCCGGGTAGTTAGTTAATCAATTGTGGCCCTGAAAAAAATTGAAGGAAAAAAAACTACGAATTTTTAAGAAAATGCTTTTTTCGTGAGATTGACTCTTAAACGCTGACAAACGTCAACAAATAGCGAAAACTATAATTTCTATATGTTTGCTTTGGTCGAGATCGCGCACATTTACAAGGCCCTAAAGCGTTTTGCTGACTTGCAAGGACCCATCTGTTATAAGGATGCCCAAAATACAGAGATGAATCTCATAGTTTATTAGATATAATCCGTGTAAAGTTTGGTTATCATTTTCGCATAAATTATGACCTAAATTTGGAAACCGCTGAATTTCTCGAATTGGGTCTTTGCGATTTTGGTGAAACTCTGTTCAGCGCAAGGCACTAATGCGCACTATGTGTAGACGAGAGATTTTCACGAAAAAATGCCGGCAACAGCAGATTTTCGACTCAGACCTCAAAGGGGCGTGGCATTATAACCACGTGACATTTACTCCGATCGCCAAAAATTTTATGTTATGTTGTAGATTGATCTATATGTTATCCATTCTATGTGTTAGACGTACGATAAAAGTAAAGGTGGGGATACCAGAGAGCTTCAAAGTAGGATGGTACCCCCCCAAAAAACTGGGTCGAGTCACCTTCAGAATATTCTTAATCAATCTATAATGCTTCCTAGCTAGATTAGCTTTTTAGCTATAGGACGCTTGTACCTTACATAAGTAGCATTGCCTTTTGTTAGTGTCTTTTCTTCTGAGTGGCATAAATAAAGTTCTTGTCTAGTGTTGTCTTGTCTTGTCTTGTCCATACCGGCAATATAAAAGGCTACGTATAAATATCGCGTGTACGTCATTTCGGCTTCTGAAACAATCTTTCTTTGGTTTTCTTAATTTTTTTGTTTATTTTAGGAGCGGCCTATTTCGATTAACTTGTAAAGTCCCGTAGAAACGTCTTTGAGCTTGAGGCTTGGTTGCTACCCAGATTTCCCGCCCGCATTTTTTCCCTTCGTGGATTTTTGGGCAGGTTTTCTTTTCTGGCCTCTGTCTGACCGCAATTTTTTCTGTTGGCAGCTCAGCTCTGCCATTTTTCTGAATTTTATCACTTCTTATTTCATTTGTACGGTTAGCGCCGTTTTTCACCGGTTCCTTATCTTGTGTATTTAGTCTCAATGTACGCTCAGAACAGCTGTACCGGGACCCCTCTTACGTGGCGACGTAAGTCAGTGATTGACGCAGTCAAATTGGCAATGCTACAAACCCCCAGCCACAATCGTAATAAAAACCTGTTTACCTTAAATGTTGCGCCCTAACCGTTTCTAACAGCCTAGCTGCCTATTTGCCTTCGTGCTTTGTTAGGTATATTAGTGAAGATGATCTCGTCATATCAAAGATGATCCCATGTTTTTTCTTTTTCTAAGCCTTTGAGCTCGGTGTTTTCTGTCCCAGACATATGTTGGTCACACTTTTTGTTTCCCCAGCCTAACTGGCACCAAGCCTGTGTGCTTTATTGGGGATACAGTTCGAGCTCGACCAGTTAAGTTGTAGCAGTTATTATTATTACTTTTTGCTAAAGCAAGAATACAAATGTTGCTTTGCGGTATTAACATACGAACATTGTAGCTATTAGTTTCTGTGGGAAAATTGGAGGCCACAACTTTACACGTACCAAGGGCAACACTCTTTTCGTAGATTCAACCTGTGACATACCACTGACTGAATATGAAAACAGGTTTCTACCTTTCCATTTGGCTGTATTATTTTTGGCACGGAATAGCATATGACTTAAAATAAATTCCTGTTCGTTTCAGCTCCATATTATGTTACCTGCACAGTTAACGCCATCCCCAGTATATCCTGCTTTGCAAGTACACGTGAAGGAACGCTTGGTGTTGGTGCAGTATGCATCATTGTGGCAGTTATGTAGTCCTGTTTTACACTCGTCTACAAATCAGCAAGTAAAAGTTAGTTACAAGAATTTCCTTGACTTAAACGTTTCTCCTGTAAGCAGAAACAACTGATATCATGATCTCTTGATAAAAATTCATTGAGAAAACGTTGGTATCAATACTCCAAACAAAAAAATATTGCATTTAAAGGCCTGTTGTCGCATGGCTGGTCTATGTGGTTGCTATACAGGTGAAATTTGGCCTTTGGTTATCAGTATTTCGGGGATACGAGAAAAGATTTGCACTATTTTTGAGAGAACATTTGTCTCGCATGCGCACGCATAACAAGCAGAAAAAAAAAACACTGTTCACGAGAACAGTTTTTTCAACTAGAACGGTATAAAGGAATCCATAAGTCATGATTTGAGGAAGGATTTCTCAGGGGGTGAGGGTGAAGTCCGTTTTGCATTTTGCGTTCGATTGCCAAATCTAAAACCCGGACTTTAAACTCAAATCCGGATTTCCCACGCAATCAAACGCACCCTAAGTTTCAATTGTCACCATGAACTGAAAAAGCTTGATCGAATTGAAAGAGGTTAATAACTTGAGAGAAAGGCTTCGAATTTACCCACTTCTCACAAAATGGCTCATGGACTAGAAATCGTTTATCTAAATTGGTTCCATTAAGTTCCAAGTCGTAAAAGTTTGTGCGTTTTTAGGAAAAAAAACTAGCATAAACGTTTTCAGGAGTTTCTCGTTTGCTCTTTTATTCTATAGATATCTAGTTCAACTTATAGCCTTTTACCTCACGGAATTGGGGCTATTTACTTTTCCAGAATAGGGGGAATTCAAACTGGTAAGAGTAGTGGCGAATAGCGAAATTGGCAGTGGATTTTTGCCCAAAATTTTTGTCTAAATCTCTCAGTAGATTAGTCAGGATTTCCATAATAAGGTAGTAGTCTTCCAAGTTTTTTTAACCTCCGCCGTCTGGTTAGCTCAGTCGGGAGAGTGCCGGTCTGCTGACCGGGAGGTTGCGGGTTCAAACCCCGGCCGGGCCAACACTCAGGTTCTTTAAATAACTGAGAAGAAAGTGCTGCCTTCGTAACGACATCTGAAAACGGTTAGACTTTGTAGTCTTCTCGGATAAGGAATAAAAACCGTAGGTCCGACAGGACTTATCTGGTATTTGTGCGACCTAAAAGAACCCACACCACTACAATGGAAAAAGTATTGAACGTAAACCCCGGTCGGTGGTGTGGCCAACCTTTTCTGGGCTGGGTGGGTTATTTCCCTCAGGAGTCAAAATGCCTATAGATAGTGTATGTATAACTTCCTGGATTTGCTGCTTAACAACTAAATGGGTTAAACTAAAAGGGTAAGTGGCTTTAGAAATGCAAACTCTGCATTGTTCCATTAACACTCCCAATTGTCCCAAAGGGTTAAACTATTCAAAAGGGCGTGCAATTCGCGCGGAAGGACTTTCTCATCCAAGGTTTTTAATATTGTTATTTATTTTCATTTTTTAACTTACCTAAGCACGTCATTTCAATTTCTCTGGCGATTTCTTCCATCAGCTCTCTGTTCCTTTCCCGCTCTTTAATTAACTCCTCTTCTTCTTTATTCATCGGAACGGGACAAACTGGAAAGCAGCAACACATATGAACAAAAAATTTCAATCTGTTAGCTAACTGCATTTTATCAACTTTGCAAAACAATAATAAATATAACAGTTATTATAATTGTAATAAATTATTATTTAATAGTAATAAATAATAGAAAATGACGATAAAATAATATCAATAAGAATATTTAATAATTTTAACGATAACGATAATGATAATGATAATAACAATGACGATAATAATAATAATAATAATAATAATAATAATAAAATAATAATAATATCATTATTAGAGCACAGTTAAAGTCAAATGACTGGGCAATGACAGGGGCCAACACCAGAGGGTTGTTCGTCCAAAGAGGTGTTGTTAAGGGAGAGCTGACTGCATAGCAAATTTATTTCAAATCCATTAGAGAAGAAAAAAATAGCGCAAAGCAATTCATGAACGGACACTGAACGAAAGAAATCTTGCCAAATGTTGATCGCCCATTTTTTAAGTGTAAAATTAAAAAATAATAGGGCAAATATAATATTATTATATTTGTTTTATTAGAAGTTGTTAACATATTCACCATTTTTACATCGCCCGTAAAACATCTTGTTTATCCCCCCAAAATTTTGCATCAGTAAATTGTCTTCAATTTCTCTTATGATGACTGCTTATACTTACAGGAAAAATCGAAAACAATTCTCATGCAAATTTTATGGAAATGATGTTTTAGGTAAAGTGTAAAAATTAAAATTTTAAGCGGCTTTCTGTACATGAAGCAGAGTAGACAGGACGCTGAAATATAATGGAGACAATTCGCAGGTGCGCAATTAAATTTGTTAGTGATGTCGTAGTTGTTAGTTGTTACCTCCATGATTTACATCTTCCTCTGTTATCATCGCGACTGGGAACATGATAACGAAAATAATGATTAATGTTTTCATGCCTGCCATCTTCCAATCTGTTGAAAACAAAATAATCATGGTTCATAGAATGTCACTGAATTTATTTCGTGGGTGTTAAAGAGTTATGCACGCAAAGTTTAATAACCACGAGTTAGCGGGAGGGGAGAGGAGGGGAGGAGAGAAAGGAGGTACCCTGGAAAATAGGCTTTGATAGACTGTGCTCGCAAAAGTAGCATGATATGCTACTTGCAGTGGTCGTATATTTCTAAAATTATGCCAATAATTCTGCTAGTATTTGTAAATTAAGCTCGTTTTAGCAAACAAAATGCACAAAATTATGCTTCTCACTTTTTACTTTAGATTTGTTAAAAAAAAAAACACCTCAATGCTTCATGTACAATTAATTGGCAAACTCATTTACCCTGTTCACACCAAGAGTCCTTAATTCATTCTCTGACAAGTATGAAAACTCAACCAGTAATCAACCAACACGCGGACGCCTCCCCAGGTAACCGAGCTTGTTATGTCAATACGTTGAGTCTTGTGGAGAGAGTCCTGAGTCACTTCCTGTTGGACCCAGGTCCCATGAATGTGACAATAAACAGACCAAATAAATGAGTACGTTACTTAGATTTGCCTGTAACACAGATCTCGGACCAAAAAGCACTGGTTGCATGTTCAATAAATGACAATTTTTGCACTGCAAAATTATACCAAAACGTGCAAATTATGCTAGCGGTGCTTTCTTTCGAAAAGTAGATGAAAATTATGCTCGTAGTGACTAATTGTGCCAAAAATTATGCTAGTCTAATCTATCAAAGCCTACCGGAAAATGGCGGTGATGCCACGATGCATAATTCCTTAAATCCTTTACCCTATCTCCCATAAATGCGTTACCCTGGTCAGGGTAAAAACTGGGGATAAAAACTCTCTCCTATTTGCAGACAATAACGTTAATTATCTATGCAGCTAATCTACATAATTATATGATCCTATCAGTAACTTCTATAGAGGAGTTCACCTGTAGACGGAAACAGGTTATTATAAAGAAGTGCCCCAGGGCACTTCCGTTCGCAGATCACCCTGGCGTTTATTTGATCAAACAAAGTCAATTTTAAAAAGCATGCTCAAGCTTTCTGGCAGAGACCGGGAGTTAGAGCAAAAAAAATAGAAAAATAGAAGCCAATTAAGCTGCAGTCTTAAAAATACTTCTTTACACTATATCTTTCAAGCATTGTTTTTTTTATTTTTGAATTTTTGTAAGTCGTGAATACCACATAAAATTTTGAATATATTTTCCGAGAAAACATGGATAAAATGAAATTTAAACTTGTTCTATGACACGGTACGGTTGTTTTACTGAAAAAAATAACTTCTTTCCCTTCAAAACAATGCATTTTTTTTTTCAGAGAAAGATCCGACCAGCATTTTGCTCAGTTGTTTAAGTTTGATTTTAGTTCAAGTTTCAGAAATATTTCTATCAATAAAAAAGATAGAATTTTTTATTACATCAAATATATCGTCGTTTTGGGGAGAAAATAATTGTAATATAGATCAATAAACAAATAGAGTAAATAAGTAAAGAATGGACCGGTCGAAACCCACCAGAGAATAGAGAAACTTATGGCCATCAAGGTTAACATAAATACTAGTTATAAATTATCTACATCATGGGTCCGAGTATTTGTTCACAAAAAAAACAAGTGTCTCGTTAGGCGAAGGGAAAGTCTGCTAAGCTTGCGTCTTGTCGCCATGATAAGTCCGTCCTTCTGTGTCCAGTAGTGTCCATGCAACACCTGATATTTTTCGTTCTTTTTTATTTATATAGTAAATGTCACTGATGGAGAAAATTTTTGCATTTTTCCGCCGGTCAAGAGTTGTAAAAAAACATCACTTTCCAGTGAACGCAATCCAATCACTCTAGCTGAAATCATTATCAAAACCGTGCAACACGGTAGAGTAGAAAGGGACTTTTTTTTCTGAATGGACAAGGTCATTGATACAACGAAGTGCTTCTATGAACCAGCGTGGCGTGAGCGATGAACATGCTAACCGCTGTAAAGGGAAGTCAAGTTCGTGTATGCGACGACTGTCAAAATACAAACAGAAGCTGTTCATGCATTGACGTGAAACATAAAGTAAAAGACTTTTATTGAATTAATAAAAAATACAAAATGAAGAAATACTGAAATGAAAAACAATGTTAAATGTTTCTTTTCAGACGACATCTGCTATTTGTAGATTGAATATCTTCAGAACTTGACGAGAAATATGCAGTTGAAGACGGGAACTTAACATCGATTAAGGTGACGGTAAGCATGTTTTAGCTATCTTTTTAAACTAGAAATTATTTTGAATTAATAATAAAACAATGATTGGATACGGATAGATCTTTCAACCGCTGAAACTAAGGAAGGGAGGAAGGATGGAAGGAGAGAGGCATACGTGGATGAGAGGACAACAGACGCGGTGCCCTCTTTAAAATATATATTGCATGTATATAACACATGAATATTTTACATACACTGAAAGTGATGCCGAAATAAACAGGAATATTGCACTCACGCTGGTCATGATTATAGTAAGAATATCACTGAAATAGCTGAGAAATAATGTACTAGGAAAGATCACCTCTCGCTTCCATATCATTCTTGTTATTTAAAAGTTTTATTTTCGTACCTCAGATTTTCCAGCTCTTCTGATCAGTTGTATGTCTCCTAACTTTTGGTGGCTAAAAGAGTTCTGACTGCTGTTCGCTTCTTCAATTGTCTGAGTTGTTTGCCTGGAAGATCCAAATACGCCAAGCAATTAAAACTCAAACAAGATTTAACGCAGGATATGTTTCGATATATTTTCAGGAGGACCTTTCTCCCCCAAAAAAATCAAATTCAAACGCAAAAAAGACAGTTTTTTGTCACCTGAGGTGGGTGCCAGCTTATCGGGCTGACAAATAAAAATGTTTGACCAAAAACAGCAGGCATGCATGATCTCATTTTTATTACTGACGTTAGCTGGCCATTTCAAAACGCCATCGATCGTTTTGTAATTAATGCTTCATTTTTCCGGTCTTGTCCTAATGGCCATAAATTGACAAATTCCGCCATCTGGTCGCAAAGAGACAAATACATTTTGTTTTTACAAATATAGTTTATTAACCATATGATTGATGTCTCATGGTCATTTTAAGGAAGAAGTGATACACAGATGAATTTACTTTTCTTTCTTTCGTAATTTTTAACTCCTTCTGTGGTAACGACAAGTTTCTGTAAAATGTTATTACTTAAAATAGTTGTAGGAAACTTAGATTAAGCAAGGAACCCTAAGCAAGTTCTTCCTTTGGAGCTGCGGCATATAGTCTATGAGATAACTAACTGGACTGTTTAAATCCTTCAGACTCAAATATAACGACATCTAAGCGCAAATAGAAATCTAGACTGAGATCGAGTTTCGACGAAAGAATCTAAAAACTCACTCTTTTATGCAAAAAAGAAAGAAAAAAGATGGGGATCTTCGCTTTCAGGATGAGTTAGACTGTGTAATAATTACCCCTGTCACAGAAACATTTTATTGAGGAGATATGATAATCACTCACTCGATAAACGCTGAGGTTGGAAGTAACACCCTTGGGTCTGTCTTCAGGGCTTATAAACTTCCAAGTATATCCATATGAAAAAAAGTAAGAAGCCTCAGATATATTAATAAAGAGTTATATAGACTTATACAATCGCAAACTTCCGAGGGAGTCGTCTGAAAGCTGGGCGCTCACACTGTTCAGTGATGTCACAATCCAAAAACCGGAAGTGATTTTGATTGGATGATTGTCAAAACATTCGTATAAATTAGACGAGTTATTATTAGAAATTTTAGCAGGACTGTAGTTTGATATTCAGCGGATTGCATGCTCGCGTGGAGTGAGTGTGGATTGCAAAATTTTTGTCAATTTTAGTGGAATTGTATTCATTTAGAGCGATTTTATCAAACTGTAACCATAGAATAAAACGTTCAATTCCATCGCTAAAATTTTTATATGACTTCTTTTCTTCTTCAGATGCGAAAAACAGAAGAAATTGACCGATGATAAAGGATGTTTTCAGGAGCAAAAAATTTCTAAGATATATGACGACATATAAGTCGGTGTTTAGGATTCTACACTAGAAAAACAGAGTAAAAAACGTTTTGGCCTGTTCATGTAACTTGCTATTTCATTTTTCAGTAACATTTACGTCATTCCTTTTTAATATCCGCAGGATAAAATAAACTCTATGCTATGACGTTAGCAAACGTTTAAAGTCCTATGAAAATGTGAGCGAAATTCTTCCTTTTTAATATAGGGAAGAACAGTTTGCGTGAATGCAAGGTGTATGTAGAAGTCCTATAAAGTATTACTTACTCGAAGGATAATCGTATTCTTACATCAGGTACTAGCAATCGTTCGATGGTATATAAAAAATATCTGTTCTATTTGACTTCATTAAACACACATCTTTGTACGTCTTTTTAATTCAGTGACCTCATGGTAGGGAAAAATACGCTTAAACTGTGAAAAAAATATAGTGGAGGCTTTTAAACGTGACCTCACGACCTGCAAATTCCAATTCGTGTTGCGACTTTGCTTACTTAACAACTCAAACCTAACGTTTAACTCACAATGCTAATTCACTGGTGACCAGTGACTTGCCTTGGCTTAAAAGTAGAAACAAAATACTAAATACAGTACACAGCGTTATTTGGCCTTACGAAGTCAACTCGCAATTTCCACCACCAACTTTAACACAAAACCCATCGGCGACTTTAATAAAGACTTAAATCCAGCATATGCACAACTCGCTAGTCTGGGTATTAAGCATTTCTTGGGGAAAGGGGTAGAGTGAAGCAAAAAGGTACTTTAACTGTTGGCCATAACAGATGAATATGTTTACATGCGGTGCAGTGGTGTCGATAGGCGCCGTTCATGATCAACGTATAAAAATAATCAAAAGGCTACGAAATATTGTAAGTAAAAAACATCTCTATCGGCTTTCATTTATGGTAAAGCGTTTTTATGATTT